AGAAGTCTTCTACCTCGAGGGAAGGTAAATCCAGCCACTCTAGAGAAAGAATAGTTTTAAAATATAGGGTGCCTCGGCAGCAGGCCCAGCGCGCTCATAAAGCAGGCTTCTCTCCTAGTTACGGGAGTTAGGATTTGGGGGCTGCTTCCTCTATGTGGTGTCCTGCAGTGGGGGTGAGATCAGGTAGCATTTAGTCCAACCCCCTGCGCTCCTATCAGCTGACATGTCTTCTTGCAGAGCCAGACAGACATCTCCATCTAAGGAGCCTCATTCTGATGCTAGGCAAGTGGAATGTATTTGTAGCGTGTGTGTCTTTCGGGTGGCATTGATCTGGGGGTGGGGCTGGGAGGGGGGCTCATCTGTGGCCGGATCTGGACCACGTGTTCTCATCAATCGATGCATCCAACGTTCAGTGAGCATCTACCACACCCTCGTTCTTGACATGGCGCGTTTAACAAGGGAACACAGCACAATGTTAAAAGTGACCCCTTCCCCAGCCCCGGGCCCCGTTCAACAAATTTCACCTTTCAGACACAGAAAGTTTTGACCCAAACAATAACACTCTCCTCCCAGAGAAAACCACTTATTCATGGTCAGGGCAAGCATTCTCCGTGACCTTTGGTGCGTTGGTCCTTAACCACAGGCTGTCAGGGAAGTGGCTTCCAAATACCCCTCACCCTGCTCCCAGGATGGAGTCAGCACAAATGTGCTAACTGATCTCTCCGCACCAAGGGGCGTCTCCAATTAAATGGTTCAAAGGCATTTTTTTTTCCCCTGCCTTACAGTTTGGCCATCTTTCCCTTGATGCAGTAAAAGCTCTGATCGTTTGGAATTTACGATCCTTTGGACAGGGACTGGGCTGAGGTCTGCTTCTGGACGGTTCTGTATAGAAAGGATTTTCGAAGAAAATGAACAGCTTGCCAGATGAATTGTAAAGAGAATGCTCACTGCCTTTAAGGGTGTCCCTGTTCTAGCCCTTTAAGAACACTCACAGATCCACAAACAATTCTTATGCTAATTTCAAATGATTTTTCCATGTTCAGTTGGTCCCCAGCGACCACCAGTCATCGATATGATGACTGGGACTTCAGCTGCCTTCAAACGCTGGGTTTGCCCTGAGCCGAAACTTCTTAGGTACAAACTTTTTTCGGCTAAGCAATCAACAAAGGGAATTAAGTCAGCGCCAGGCCCTTCGTTGGTGGGGATAAAAGAGGGGTCCCTCTGCGCTTAAAGGAAGCTTGTGGATTCCCTCTGGCTTCCCTACTAGTTGGCATTGTCCTAGTTTGTCTGTGGGTGACCCTCACTGTGGCTCACCTGCAATGGTCCCTTTCAGATTTTTCCATCCTGCAAAATAATAATTATGAACAACGTCCCTTTCCTTCTTAAAGACTTCTTACTATGTACTCTAAGTTATGTGATCACCATAAATTCGACAACACTCAGGGATTAAAACTGGGATTTTTTTTTTCCGAAGAGTTAGAGCTTTATGGGTCTTTCCTATACAAATCAAAAGAATGGTCCATACGGACATTGGACCAATCAATCTAGAATCCAAATACTTCACTATTCTCCACTCTGTTTCTGAAATAGTCAGACCCCACCCCCCCACACACTACCTGTGTATTAATTAATTCTTATCTCAATGCAATTAAAACTTCGAGATTAGCCGGGCGTGGTGGTGCACACCTGTCATCCCAGCGGCTCAGGAGGCTGAGGCAGGGGGATCGTGAGTTCAAAGCCAGCCTCAGCAATTTAGCGAGGCCCTAAGCAACTCAGTGAGACCCTGTCTCTAAATAAAATACAAAGTAGGGCTGGGGATGTGGCTCAGTGGTTGCACACCCCTGAGTTCAATCCCTACTACCAAAACAAACAAACAAAAAACCTTCAAGATGTTGATGGTCAGCATTATTCGAGGAAGACATGGAAAGGCGTATGCAACACAATACCTAGGAACAGTTGATTTCCCATTAGCCACTGTAAGCTTTGTTACAGAACCCACGTCTACTAAACAAACACTGTGTGCCGCACACCAGAGGGAGGGCTTTACCAGCTTCAGTCCTCCTCTCCCTCCATCTAGGGTGCCAACTCTTACTACTTCTGCTTTCAAACTGACAAGCCAGTTCAGCCAGGTAGAGCTACTTGTTCAGGATGCTCAGTAAGTGATAGAACCAGGTCCGGATTCCAGGCTGTCTTATGTTCCAATCAGTTTCTTAACCACGATGATAGACCGTCTCCCGCTCTGCTATACTGTTCTGACATTTGAGTCAGACATCTGCTTGCAATTGGATACATGATAAAGCCGTTCCTCATCAAGTATGTCTCATGGAGGGGGGAGGGAGGAGGGAGGAGGGGGGAGGGAGCAGGGGGGAGGAGGGAGGAGGGGAAGGAGGAGGGAGGGGCTGAGGGGCTTCTGCTGGAGCGGATGTGATGGATGCATGTTTCTGTGAGATCAACAAACGGATCCTATACTTCTGTCCTGGTGCTCAATTATCTTCGGAAGATACACTTAAAACATCCTGGGGAAGCTCATTCAGGGAGAAATATTAAACAAATATAAAGTGTGCACCTAACAGGACTGGGTTCCCCGGCCCCTCCTCCATCTCCCTGCAGACAGCTCTACTTGTGTGGATCTGCTGACTGTGAGCTGGGTTTGAGTCATGGAACTCAACAACATCTCTGATGAGAATGAGTCTCTAGATTTTCTCTGAAAAACAGTCACGGTGGGGGGGGGGGAGGCAAATGATGCCAGTGGCTCTGTCCTTTTTTCCTCCTAAGAACTCTGCTTTGGCAAACCTGGTGCTTTTAAGTTTAAGTCACTACAGAACACCGGAAAGGAAGTAGAAACTGACCACCCCTGGAGGAGGCTGTTGGGGTGAGGTTTGAGAGCCCATCTTACGAAAAGACAGCTCAATCCCAGCCTTGAACACAAACCTCCCATGCTCCCCGTCGAACCCACACCAAGAAAAACACCCATAAAACTGGGATCTGTTCCACAGAGAGGCCACGCCTGTTACAGAAATATTAAACAGGATCCTCCTAGCATGACATAAATCGAGGGCTTGTAGCTCAGACTTTAACCTCAGGAGAGAGGAGACCCAAGACATTAAAAGAAACCCAGAGAGAAATGAAAACAGGGGGCATATGTGGGAGCTGTCGTAAAAGGTCTCAGACAGATTAAATCAGAATTATCCCAAAGCCACCGAAAGCAGGAGGGTTCGGGACACTGGGTAGAAAATTTATGTGATTGACACAACGACCAAGAAAAAGGCATGTTAGTACCAGCCAGACAAAACAAGGAAATACTAAGGGAAGTAGACAGGGACATGCTTTTCTGAATTAGAGCCCCATCAGGAATCTGCTTCCTCCCCCCTCTGTGCTCCTAAAATAGATGAGAAACTCTGGACCAAATGCCACACTTGGAGTTTCCAATCAAAATCCCTGAGTCCCTCCTACAAGGGCATAATCTTTGGCCAGTGCAGCATCTGATTTGCCAACTGTAGGTACACTCCAAAGGTGGATCGGACGGCAGAGAACCAGGAAGATAAAACTGCTGACGTCAAAACTCTCTACAAAGAACCTCTTTCGGAGCAGGGAAGCGTCAGCTTTTAATGGCATTTGGCCTTATTGTTCCCCTTCTCCAGCCTGACAGTGGCTTCCCCCTCCCTCTCCTCTGCAAATACTATCTGCGGCTTGAAGCCTGCTGCACCCCACTGGCCCATGGTGTTTCTTGGTCACCCGGTCCCAACAGGGGACATCCATTTTTTTTTTCTAAAGACTTATCTGAGCTTCTATCCGACTAGAGGAAAGTTCTGCAGTATGGGTTTTATTTTTGCAGGTGTGATTCCCCGTCGACCCCATACCTACTGCAAAGTTCAGATCGAGTTGTCCCAGAACAAGCCTTCTGTCCAAAACACTTTCTCAAACATGTTTTCAATCTACTCCCTAATGTCGCCTGCCAGGATTAATAAATCCACCAAGTGGTCCCCCCTGGCCCGCTTCTTCCTTTTTTTGCCCGCCAAACCGCACATCCAACACTAGCAAAAGAGGAGTTTCCATCCTGCCTTGATTCTCCCTGACAGAGGGCACAGCCTTCTTCCTTTCTTCTCAAACTCCTCTAAATGGAATGACTTATCAAAAGAAGGGGGGGGGGTTCTCTATCTTGGAACCCTTCGGTTCTCCCCAGCCCCCTCATCTCTTCACCCCACATCTTGTTCCGCCTCTTTCTGCCTTTCATTTCTTCCCTTTTCTCCTCCTGGATCATTTTATTTTATTTTATTTTATTACCACCACTCCAGGATCTGCTACCATCCCTGAGTTCAAAGCAATCAGCGTCTTTTTGAAAAACCAAATAAAACTCTACCAAGATCATCTTCACGATTTCGGAAGACTCCTCCCTGACTCCTGGAGCTCAGAATCCCAGTTTTGGATGCTGGAGAGGAGAGAATTTGGTGGCAGCCGCAGCAGCAGCGGCAGCAGCGGCCCAAAAGGCGTGGAGGAGGGTGCTGTTTTGGGTGTATTTGAGGGAACAACATATGGGCTTTTTGTCAAAACGCTCAGAGCTCCCTGGTTTCTGAGCTGAGGATAGCAATGTGCGGCTGCCTTTGCCCAGGGTTCCAGCCGGTTCACCCCTCACCTTGCCCAACATTCCCCAATCACCCCCTATCCACCATTCCTTTGGCCCCTGCCCTCTGAGCTCTGTGATACCAAGAAAAGTTTTTCAGTCAAGTCATACCCCAGCCGCACCGCCCACCCTAAGAAAGCAAAAAATCTCTTGCATAGGAGCAATAGGGTCCCTGCAGCGTCTGTCCCCAAAGAATCCCCGTCCCTCTCACCAGCTTCTTCCTCAACACAAGCAATTAGTTCCCATGTTCCAGCGGGAGACACCGAGTAGTGACGGGAAGAGAGAGCCCAGCTGCCTGCATCCACCCCTCACCGCTCCGGGGCACAGGCCAGAAAGGGGGACCTTCCGGCGTCTCCCCTCTTAAGAACGAGGTCCTTACCTTGGCAGCGGCTTGCGGGCCGTGATACTAGCAACAATGATGCTCTCGGGACGCGGGGTGGCCACCGCTTTGAAGGTTCCTCGCCAGAACTTCTCAAAAAGCTGCTTCTCGCCCTGCTGAACGCTCGCCATAGCCAACCCCAAGGGGCCCGCGGGGCGCCCGGGCGCTGTCCGAAGTGCTGAAACGTGGCTTCCAAACGGGGGCGCAGCCGGCTCCGGGCGCTGTCCGCGGGAAAGCCAGAGGGGTGGGGTGGGAGGATCCGAGTTCGGGGCGGGGGATGGGGCGCCCGGGTCTGGACAGGCAGCGGGGCCAGAGGGCTCGTCCGCCGGCTTTCGTCGCCTTCTGGGCTGGCTCTGGGCTGCGCTCCCAGCTCGCAGGGCTGCGCAGCCCGGGAAGGGCCAGCAGGGCCGGCTTCCGCGGCAGCGCTGGGAGAGCAGAGGCGACCGGGTCGTCCGGGTGTGCGTGCGCGTGTGAGCTCCGGCGCGCCCGGGTTTTGTCTCTCGCACAATGTGACGTTTCAAGAGGAGGCTGGTCGCGCGAGCTGCACTTGCCTCCCCCCCCCCCCCCTCCCTGTCTCTCCTCCTTCCCACCCACCCCCTCCTCCTCTGGCTCAGCCTCCTGCCGCCATCTGCATAACAAAAGCCCGCAGGTCTTGGGAGGAGAAAGGGCGGGGCGTGCGCCTGTCACCAAGGCCCCGCGGCCACGGAGTTGCAGCGCTGACCCTACTGAGAAGCTGTCCCCCACCCCGGGCTCAGCCAGGCAGGGAATCCTGCTTCCCGGCTCTTTCTCCTCCTCCATCATCGTGGGCCTACCCCACCACCACCATACTTTCCTTGTGCACCCCAGAGGCTCGGCCACCTCCCTTCCCAAGTCTTGCAGTGATCTCCTATTGAAGGGCCCAGTGAAAAACTTCACCGATTCGCTCAGGCCAGCCTGCCCCCTTCGCTGCTGGGAGGGACCGCCCAGGCCCCGCAAAGGGGGTCCCTGGCGTTCCTCTATGCGCCCGGGGGCCGCGAGATCTCCACCACCCAGAAAGTGCCATTTAATGGACAATCCGTCACCAATTCGGCTTCTCGCCATCTGCCGAGCCGGCCCCCACCCGCAGAGGGGCGCAGCGTTACGTCTGTGCCTGGGGCGCGGCAAAGGGGATCTCCTTTGTGCCTCTCAGCCAGCCTGCCCAACGTCCCCGCTACCGAAGCCTTCCCAAGGAAGGGGACCCCCCCACACACACACACTTTCCACTTCTGGGGAATTCGGGGAGCAGCCGCTTTTCGGGAAGGGGATACGTTTTTATAAAAGAAAGAGCTAAAAGGGGGGAGAGTTTGGGGCGGGGTCTGGGGACTCCAAGGGGACAGTAACTTTTCGGGCTCTCCTCCCCCATCTTCTACCCCTCCCCCCGCCCTTCCAACCTAATCCCAGCAAATGGTGCGACTTTGGGATCTCAAACTCCAGACGCATAGGATCTGGGCTGAATTCTTCTTGCTTTCCTAGGTTGTTGTTGTTGTTATTATTATTAAAAGAGGCGATCTTTGCGGGACCCCTTAGCCCATCTCTCTCGAATCGCTTCTCTCTCCCATCCCTGGGCTGGAAACTCTTGGAAGGAGGCTTTGTTGAGTCTTACAGCCCCCGAGGACCCGGCACCCGGTCCCGGCCACAGCGGGGACAAACCTATGATTCTTGCTGATACTGGTAACCGTGGGGACAGAGCAAAGGGCAGGGACATCAATGTGAACTTCAGAAATTCTTTGAAAGGGAACGGGAGCTAAACAGGGGGATGAGGCTAAGAGGAAGAGAGGATAAGATGGGGACAAGAGAAGCAAGAACCCCGAAGTAAGAGTATGCGTCTGGAAGAACACACACGTCTGTGTATTGTTTGTGGGGCTGATGAGGAGGGCCGAGAGCGCAGTCTGCTCGGCAGTGACCCCTTCTGGTCGACAGCTAGAGGTGCACTGACGGCTTTTTAAGTGGGTAGCGCCTTCCTGGTGGTGCAGTTAGGGCTAGGATACTTGGAGGTGGCGGAGAGTGAAGGGGAGGTTCGCTCCTGGCCTCCCACTTGATCCTCACCCCATGCTGCAAACCCCCGCATTCCTCGATTGCCCTCAGGCCCTGTTTTCCACCTGCAGTTGATGTCACTTTAAATGCAGTAGCCTGGGAAATTTAAAATGATCCTTAGTCATGACAATGGGGGGGTCTGCCCTGAGTCACTTGCGGGAGATAGGTGGGATCCTCCTCCCACGAAGTCAATCAACCTCTCCCAGCTGTGTTTCTGTTCTTAATTCCTAGAGGGTTGTCAAAGCTCCCAGGTGCACACCATTCCCTCCTCGGAACCCCACGGCAGGCAGCTCAAGTGGGAGAAAGAAGTTACTCTTACTACCTGTTAAAGATGAGGAAGTGGAGCCAGGGAGGTGGCAGCACACCTGTAATCCAATATAATTCCGGAGGCTGAGGCAGGAGGATCCCAAGTTCCAGGCCAGCCTCAACAACGTAGCAAGCCTCTAAGCCACGTAGGCCGTGTCTCAAAATTAAAATAAATAAATCAAAGGGACTAAAAAGACACAGTTTCTGCTTTTGCTTGGGAGTGGGGCCAGGGGATACTAGACATTGGCAGGCAAAACCCATCCAATACCAACGGGCAAAGTACTCCTTGGTGTTGAGCCTTCTAGAGTTGGGAGTCTCCTGCAATAAACTCACTTTCCTGTGCTTCAGTTTCTTCATCACTAACATGAAGAAGCTATGGAGATTGAATATCACAGGTTTAAATAGACTGTGAGGACTCAAGGGACTCACACAGTACACAGTCCTAGGAGCAGAGCTCTGGAACGTGGTTCCTAAAGACACCAATTATTTTTCCAATGACCGAGAGCGCATTGGTCAGGAGTGAGACAGAAGTAGAGTATGAAGCCCAGCTCTGCCTCAGTTTCCCCCTCTGTGAAATGGAGGCATTTTATAGGATCGTTGTGATTAAAGAAGATTTCACCCATAAAGGACTTAGCACAGTGTCCCGTTCATGGCCAGTGACTGTTAAATAGTAGCTGTTATGACAAACACTGTTGGAATCTTAGCATCTTAGGCCAGGCTATATGTGGGGCTCGATAATCATTCATCGAGGCCCACCTTGGATCTTGGTTGGGAATCTGGATATTGAGGGTCCAGAGACCAGAGAGCCCCTTCCCTGGAGGAGTTCACAGTCTGATTCACCTCTGGGTCCCCATGCCTAACCGTCGACTCCTTCCCATATTTTCACTCTTAGTCTTTAGGCCTGGTTTCTCCAATACAACTCAAACTCTAGACCCTCCAGGTCCATGACCACCTGTGTCTGTCACGGTATGACCCTCTGTGCCTCAGTCCCTCGGGGCCTTGCTCTCTGTTTTCCTGGGTGCAAGCCACCCTACTCCATAAACTGAGGCCTGTCAGTACCGGATGGATAAAGATAAATAATGTGTGGCACCATTGCTGCTGAATCCTCCACATGCTGCCCCCAACGGGTGTGGAAAATTCATTGCAGCCCTCTTGCTGGGACCTAACCTCAGAATCCTTCTCAACCCAGCCTTCTAGATAGCCATTTCTAATTGGTTGGAGTCAGCATCCTAGACAAAACCAATTTGCCATCCATGCCTAGATGCTGGTTCTTTACCTAACTGGGGGTGTCATTTCATCTAAAAAAAAACAAAGGGAAAGAAGAAGTGATTCCAGGATTTTCAACTCCAGGCACTCTAGAGCAGCAGTTCAGAGAGATTCTTGTGCTTTCTTCCTCTAGAGATCCAAAGACGTGTCAGCTCCAGCTCAGAGAAACACCTACGTCTCCTCCGCAGACAATTCAAGTTCCACTCAGGAACCTGACTGTGTTATCTCGGGTAAATGCCTTCATCTCTCTGTGTCCAGGACTTCTCTGTCTATAATGAGGCTAGTCATTATCTACCAGTCTCAAGGGACTTCAGGGAACTTGACAGTCTGTACCTGTTTCCAAAAGTCCAGTGAACAGTGAAAGATTCAAATAATTTCTGAGATTACAGGAAATATGATAATGAGAACAATCTGTCTTTCTACCTTTGAGCAGGATCAGAGGAAGCCATTCAAATGATGAGATTCTGTATTCTTCATAAAGATATTTGAGGGAGAAAAACATGATTGTACTAATCAGGGTAGACTCACTTCTTGAAAGTTCTACTTTGGGTCTAAACTGAATCCAGCCTCTGACATTCATAGTCTATTCCTTTTCTAGAATTCCAAAGCCCCCGGACTAACATGGATGAACCAGGGTCCTCCTTCCTGGGTTGTTTAGTTTCCTATGTCTAAAGATTGGATCATCCATGTCGAACACAGGATTGGAACACAGTAGGAGTTCAATAAGAGTAGCTCCTATATACAGAATATAGCAGACTAATGTTGATATTATACCAGTCTACAGGCAAGAAGGCAAGATTTTATAACTATAGAAACAAATGACAATATAACACACTGTGCTTACTGATAATGCTTAGAGTCATTTAACTGCGATCTGATGAGAGAAAAGGACTAAGTTTTATGTACACTCTATGTACATTCTACATAACATACTCTGTGTCATAGGAGTACTTGTACATAACTATAATCATAAAGTTTTATATAGAACTCGGTGCCAAGCATTGTTCAAATTACTTTACAAATATTATCTTATTTAATGCTCACAAAAAAACCTACACTTTAGATCCCGTTACTGGTAACCACATTTTACATAAAAGGAAACAGACGCACAGAGGGGTGAAATAACTTGTCTAAGGACACACAGCTAGTCAAAGGTAGAGGCAACATGTGAACTTACCCAGTCTGTCTTGCAAAGTCTGCCCTCTTCATCATTTTTATCCGATGCCTGTGGTATCATTTTATGTCCAAGACTGGCATTCATTGACGTGCAACTATGTCTTGGGCCTAGTACTTGGACAGAGGCAAAAGTAGGTCCTGCTCTCAGAGAGCTTATAGTCCAGTCGTGAGCAGGGGAGGTTACAAAGAAAAATGTCCCCAAGGAGAAAAGGTGTGAATGAATCTGGATAACTGGGGAATTTATTAATCCGAGTGTACAGAGGCCAAATCCTCTCTGAGATTAGTTGCATTTAAGCCGAGGTCAAGAATAAGGCGTCAGCATGTTGAAATGGCGTTTTAAGAAAAGGCCCCAGTGTGGGCAGAGACAACATGTCGGAAAAGCGTGCATGCATCCAGAGAACGGGGGCAGAAGTAAGGAGCTGGAGATGGAACAACGTACTCCACGCCATGACATTAGACTCCGAGTCTCGTTTTACTTTTTAATATAAAATTAGACAACCACCATCGAAGTTTGAAAAGCCGACGGTAGGATGTCGTTTCTCCAAGCAGTGGGCCCCGGAACCCTGGTGGTACCCCAGGCAGAAGGTTTTGGGTGTTATCTAGGCACCCCAAAGCATGAAATAACATTGGAACAAAGGGT